GAGGTCACCCGCGCTTCTGATGCAACTGCAAATCGAGCCTTCCCATGACTCCTTCCTAAGGCTCAATAATTTGCTACCAAGGCTCATGGAATCCAGGGAAAAACTTTGCTCACTATTACTACTTCATTATAAAAGGCATCATAAAGGATACAAATGAACAGCCAGATGAGAAAGTACATAGGGCAAAGTCTAGAAGCATCCTAAGCACAGGAACTTCTCTCTCTGTGGAGTTTGGGGTAAGCCACTCTCCTGGCACATGGATGTATTCTTGTTCACCAGCCCAGAAATTATTCAAATCTCTTTGTGTTGGGTTTTTATAGAGGTTCCATTACGTAGGCATGATAGATATAATCGCTGGCCATGGGTGATTAACTCAATCCCCGGCTCCTTTCCCCTCCCTAGAGGTGGAGGGGTGAGGCTGAAAGTTCCAAGCCTCTAATCACGCGGTTGGTTCTTCTGGCAACCAACCCTGTCCTCCAAAGGTCACCTCAGTGGCGTAAACTCAGGTATGGTTGGAAGGGACTGATCTCGAACAATGAAAGATACCCCCCTCACCCCTGTCGCTCAGGAAATTCTAAGGGTTTTAGGAGCTCTGTGCCAGGAACCAGGGATGAGACCAAATATATGGTTCTTAAAATATCACAATATCACAGATGACCCATGAGGTTTTCTCACTTTAGAATAAAAGTCAGAATGCCTCACCTAGAGATCCAAGTGGGAAACAACTGGAGTTCCCAAGAAAGGGACAGGATTGCTTTGTATGTGGGGGCCATCATATTCTGAAATAGTTCAGTAGCAGATTTTCTGAAGCCGACACCTTACAGACACCTGTCTGAATAATATTCATTAAGACACAGTAAAGGGATTGAATTGCTAATTGTTTTGATGATTTACTAAGCACTGTTCTGGCACTAAATATTTTAAATACTTCACATATATCTCAGTAATATTTTCCATTAATAGGGAAAGAAACCCTAAATCTGTGGGGCTACGTTGCAACCACCATTGTCTTCAAGCGGGAGTGTTGCTTTTCCACCTTGAGGCCACGCAGTACGCGACTGCTTCTGGAGTCCCAAACAAGTAGTGTGGCATCATGCTTTTAAGGTATTGGATTCTAAATGTCACAGGACTTTAACACATCAGAGCTTATCATAAAGGACAGAGTTTGTAAGTTTGTATTTACCAAGTTCACTTCTTTGAATAATTTAACTCATTAACCAAAGGATAAATAAGGCCAGTGTTTATTCTTCAGTATAATACACATATGTGACTGTTATACATCTTCATAAGGCAAAGAAATACAGCTGAATGAAACTATGTTCAGAAATAAAAAATATACATGACATATGCAATCACCATATTATGAATCCATTTTTATTTCTTACCTACACCCCTAAACCTCATCAAAAGGACTCACTGACATCTATCAGCTGGGACAACTACAAAACACATACAATTCAAGGTAGGAACACTCAGGTATTAGATGTTTTCTGCTCTTTTGAATAAGTGGTTGTTGAGTTATAAGCCTTCATGGAAGGTGAAACTACCCACATAAAGATCACTTATGGAAAGCACACCTGACTAAATGGAGCTCCGAGACATATGTAGAACTTCTATGGGGAGAAACTGTTGACCTCATGCTAGTCAAGGAGGGCGCCTTCGTCCAGGACGCAAGCACCTAATAGTCTAATAGTCCAGCTTCAAGCTTCCTTTAGGACAGCAAGCAATTTGCCTTTTGGAAATACCATTTTTATCCCAAAAAGGCTTTAGGGGAGCACTGTGATGGATAAGAAGATGGACTTTAATTCTAACAGAAGAAAAAGAGAAAGAAGCAAAAAATAAAAATGAAAATAAAAATAAAAAAGATAAATAAAAAAGCAAAATAGGCAGCATCATGGCTGTTGAGAAGTGAGCCACAGTGAAGGCACAGCCTGCACCCACGCTGAAATGCCAGGGAACAGACACCTGCCTCACCCTCTTGGCACACTCGCACAGATGGACTTCCCAAATGAGGTTCCTTCGGCTGGCCTGTCATCCAAACTGAACAAGCACATGTATCATGTATGCATCCTGACACCATTTGCCTCATGTCTAGAGTAGGGGTAGTGGGAGCAGAAGGAAGAAGAAAGGAATGAAATAAAGAATAAGACCCTCATTTCCCTAATATCAAATACATACTTTGATTTCTAAAACACGAAAAAGTTTTGCTATGCTAATATCCTTAACAACGCTGAAAATGTAGTAATTCACTCATCTTCCAAAACACATTCATGTCAAAGTAGGCCACAGCAAAGCAGCATGCCTATTTACATTTTCGAGGAAAGAAAGCAAAATATATCAAGGCAGACTAAAAACGAACATGAGAATTACCCAGTTTCAACCTAGAAATCTTTCCCCAAGGTTAATTCAGGTGAGAATCCTTTGCAGACGTTTCCATGTCACCGACGGGGGCATGAGCTCTCTTCTCCCTGATTGCTAAATAGCAACAGGTTCTGGGGAAGTGTTGGTATCTTACAAATTACAAATGGGGACATGGTTTTTCTTGACTCCCTCGTGGGGTTTATCTCTCTGCAGGCAGTGGGACGTGCCACATCAGTGCTGAATTTCCACCTTTTTCTGAAGAACAGGCTACTCCTAATGCAAGCGATGTGAAGCCATAAGGCCCATTAGGAGGGTGGAGGAGCAATGCAGGCTATCCAGGCCTGATGACTTCCTGGAAAAGTTGATCACAATAGCCCTCGTCTAGCCAGACTGGGCTTCTCTGGTCCATGCTTGCATCTGGCTGGATTCCTCCGCTGTGCAAAGCCCTCTTTCCCATCAGAGTGGCAATCGACCAAGTTAGCAGTCCTCGCTGGAGCAACCCCACATGGGTGTGGAGGGAGGGAACAGGATGAGCAGGAGACCGAAATGCTCCCATTTCGCTGTAACTCTAGACTGTAATAATCAACTCTGCAATGCAAACTATCCTCAGCTCTCACATAAAAGGCGCCCTGCTGGCATAGGGATGCCTCCCCATCCAAATGTGGAAATTTAACTCCAAATTCAAAGGAGATCCGTTTTGAAAGTAGAGTCTCCTTTCTAAACCTGTTTTAAAAAGAAATCACACCCACTGACTGCAGGGTGATTAGTGGATTAATCTGACAAAGCTATCATTCCTTCATCGGCCTAAACTGCCTCTCCCATGTGTGTTGGGGTCTGGTAAACGTTTCTCTGCCAACGTGAGTCAGAATGGGAGCTGATGCAAAAGACCTCCTGCTCTATCTGGTAGAGATTCCACACCGCAGGATAGAAAACGCCCTTCCATGAGGGGTTTCAAATCAGACCCTTGCGTCTTATTTAGCATTTGAGTGAATGCCAGCTCTCTGCGGTCTGAGTATTAATGCATGCACTGGCTTGTATTTTTCCAGACTCGATGAATACCATCAGCTAAAGATAGCACAGAAATAGAACACTTCAGTCACAGGGCTTTGTTGTGTGTGTGTGTGTGTGTGTGTGTGTGTGTGTGTGTGTGTGTGTTTTTATATGTGTGTTTTTTTTAAGGAAACCAAATTAAACATTTTAAGCATAGTCACATAACAGGAACAGGAGAAAACCAACCTTGGATAAATGCATAGGCCAAAGGAAAAAAGAAATGCATCATAATGTAAGAGCAAAGCTAGAAAGGGGTCAGTTTTATAGCTAGCATGACCACTAAATTGGCATGTGGTCTGAACTAAATTACACATTTTCTTCTGTCTCTACTTCCCCTTTACCTTGCACATGAGAATAAGAACATTGCGCGTACAGTTCTTCACGGGCATGCCAGAAGGATCCACTAGGCGGGTCTGAGCAATAATGGAGAAAAGCCATGCCAATTAAAACTGCCCTCTCTAATACGGCCATGAAGGCATTCTCCTTACCTGTCACTGCTACTGTGACTGTCCCAGCCTCGAGTCATTTACAGCCAAAAATAAAGACATTCTTACAGTTAATCTCAACACAGGAGTTATTTGGAAACGGGAAATAGGAAGAAAGCTAAAGAAGCTGAATGGTGAGTGTGGTGTTCGAGGTGTGACAGGAGTTTAGTGTGGCTTTGCAAGGCCCCTTCTTCATAAAGAAAGGACACACATGTTTCACTCTTGAGACGCCCTGTGCCTTTCTGTGCTACATACGGTAGGACTCATCTCCATTATTAGAAATCTGTAATGAAATGGCACATGAGCTCAGGAACAAGAAGAAGCTTCCAACTGGAAGTCATCCTCATATCCAAGGGGTAAGCAGGAGTGTCCTCCTCACCTCCCGGTTTCTGAATGTTCTCTCTGAATGAGCCATGCGAGACTCTGCAGAGGGGAGATGGTTGGTCTTCAAAAATGTTGGAGTTGACCCAGAAACCTGAGCGCTATTTCCAAAGCCATTTCAACACTGGAGGCGAAGGGCCGCCCTGCCTTAGGATGCTCATGACCCATCGCTCGTTGACATCACGGCTCGGGCCAAGCCCTCGGGACTGTTACCATCGTCCCAAAGGTTGTAATTCTAGGACTAACCGTCAGCAGACACCTCTTGCTCCACTCGTGAAAACTAGTGCACTTCTTGCGCGTGAATGTTCAATCAGAAGAGAGCGGGGCTGCCAGTGAAGTGCACGTCACTCATTTGAAAGTAGACTCGCTGCTCGGAAGAAACGGATGAACTGGGAGAAAAGTTCAGAATAAGTGGAAGGTAGGATGCCTGATGCCTCTTGCCTCGGGACTCAAAAACAGCTTGAGTTCCAGAAAGCAAATTATTTATCAATTGGATTCACCTGATTTCAGACCTAATCAAAATAATGAAGTCCGAGAAACCAAGTGTTCAAGGGTGCAAAAGACAGAATTTTCTTCTGGCAATATGGTCACCCCTTTGAAAGGCATAGTTTAAGATCCGAAAGCAGTTTTCTGCCTCTAAATGTATCCTCCTCCAGGTTTAAATGCCTCAAAGACATCTTCAGTCCGATTGCTCTAGTAGCTGAGGATGAGCAAGAATAACGCGTCCCTCATCCCAGTGACTAAAATCAAAAGCATTGGAAACTCAAGATGTCAGGGAAACATCTTCCCAAATGTGGACTATCACGGGGCGTAGGGATGTGAGGAAAGGGTTCCAGGGCTTGTCTGCATCCCTGGGACACGGCACTAGGCATCGGCCTGAAGCAGGCGCTCGGAGTTCAAGTGCAGCGGCTCCCCCGCCCCCATAGCCACCCGTCATCATTGGGGTCAAGGCATCAGAACTGCTGATTTTTCCAAAAATCTTCCCAAAGCAGCAGCAACCGCAGCAGTTTTCCTGCAAAGCAAACAAAATATGACTCTTGTTAATTCAGCAGGGCTTTTAAAATTGTAATTAGTTGGTTGTGCCCCTTAGGAAAACCACACATCATTTTTTATAATGCATGTGTGCATGTGAGAGAGGGAGGGAAAAAAAAAAAAGAGAAACCCCTTGCAGGATTCCACTGCTTACCAGAGTTGGGTTTTGTGTGTGTGTGTTTTTTTAAGTTTATGCAAGATATTTTTGCACTATTTGCAACATCGAAGGACAAGGCCGCTTTGTTTCATGGGAAGCACGGCCAGCTCCGAGAGCTCCCCACCGCACCGTCCATCCTGTCCGCCTGACCCCGCATCAAAGTGACATGGACACCGAAGATCTTGCATGGGAATGTTTTTATTTGCTTTAGGACCACGTGTGGCATGGGCCCGCATCCGGCTTGCTGCCCTACGTCACTCCCATGGATCTGAGGAGGAAGCCTAAATTCATATTTCACAGGTTGGCAAAAGATGCAACAGAAGCACAAAATGAAATGCCACCAGGTCGGTTTTTAGAGTGTTTCCTCAGCGCATCAAAAAACCTCTAACAAATTGTAGGAGATTTATATGCCTCAATTTACATTGTGGATCCTGCCTTATTCATAGGGCCTGGAAGTCATTTTTTTTTCCGCAGGAATAATCTTCAACCACCAGATTTTAAAAATCAATATTATCACAAAGTTGGTTTTACTCATAACAGAGCTTGCCAAAAACCCCATCTTATCCTGGCAGGAAATACTATAAAAAATGATTTAAAAGAAATTCTTCCCAAATGAGGCTACTCTCAGAGTTAATATCTTAAACTTACATTTTAATTTGGAAAAAAAAAAGTGAAAAAGTAAACTAGGAAAGACCCACATCCCATGGGCCTAAAACAACTCTTCCCCGGCCTGCAGGGCAACCAAGGTGAATTTCTGTGGCTAACTGGAGCTGGAGGGACCCAGGAGAGGAAGGCAGCCAGCCCAAGTGACCATCAGGAGACAGGCCCGACCATGCTCACAGAAAGGTCTCATCAAGCAATTGCAACAAAAATGGTGTCTAACCGCGCCAGTGTGACCAGCTCCCGTATCTTTGTCCTCTGCATAACTGTCACTGTTTGGGCTGCCACCATCCTCCATTGCGTTGGGCTCAAGGCTCCAACATGACATGGAAGGACTCCTCCACCGCCTCCCACTGTCATTCCCTCCTCACTCTTTTCCTGCCAGACCCCGGCCACAGGCCTGCCTTGCAATGTGACCTCCTGTCACCCAATGAATTCATTCCTCCTGGGCCTCCAAAGTGACTCCAGTGCTCATGGTGGGAATGTAGTTTGTGGCGAACCCTCGAGGTTTGTGGTCACTGTGGATGAAACTGGGAGGGAGAGCTGCCCATGGACTCTGGTGCCCACCACTCACAGTGAAGGCTAGGCTGCACCTCAGCCAGCCCGACGACCCAGGCCGGGGAGCATGGAGAGTCCTTTCCTTCTCCACATTGTCACAAGACCTAAAGCTTTCTTCCTCAACTTTCTCCAAAGCTTCAGTGTCCTTGCTATCACTGACACATGAGAATGGTCTTGGTAAGTAGGAAACCCAAGGCTTTCTGTTTCATAGATTTCTAGAGAAGTGACCTGTACACCAAAGGCTGAATACTTGCCTAACTCTGGTCTGTGACTTTTGCTATGATCTATTGATATATTTCTGGTTGATCTTATTCTACAGGAGATTCAAGGCAAGATTCTTACGAGAATATACAGGCAAACAGACAAACAAAAACCTTGGGACCAGAATAAATACCAGTCAGAATAAAAGAGTAAGACCAGTGGGCAGCAAGAACAATAGACTCATACGTCTTACACATCTGTTAAAATTAAGTTGCAACAATGGCTGTGGACTTACTTCCCCAAATTAGAGAACTGACTTGCTGGAGGTTAAATGAGCCCCCAATTGGGACATAGATGTTGGGATTTCTAAAAGTCCTCTGTAATAAATACACTGCCTTAGGCTTCTCCTTTAGGGCATAAATTAAGCCAGTTTATTGATACAATCAAAGGTATTCATGTGTAGAACTATTGTCTTAAGAATTCTGACAAAATTCTAAGCAGGGTAGAGGCTTTGTATGAAGCGGTGGCTCCTCCAGGTCCAAGAGTGGGCCAATACCAGGAGGCAGCTCAGGGAAGAAAAATAAGCTTGGGCTTTAAAAATCAGAGATACCTGATATTAGCAGCATAGCTTTGAGGGAGTTATTTAGTCTGTGAGTCCCTGAGATTGGTTTCCCATCAATAAAAAAACAAAAACAATGAATACTTCCTCTGATCCCACACAACTATGAGGACTACCATAAACTGTCCTGTTCAATTATTGGCACCAACTGAGCTAATTATTGAGTACCTCCTATGGTCCAGGCCCTGGTCTCCAGGCTTAGTTTGGATTATCTTGTGGAGCCACTCAACGAGCGTAGGAAGTAAGACTATCCCCAACGCACAAATCATCAGGAAACAGGTTTTTCTGCTAGAAAATGGCAGATCCAGATTGCACACAGAGCAGTCTAAAATCAAGGCCCTCCCTCTCACTGGAAACACCACCCTGCATCCCACATAGTCAGTGCAACACACATTTAACTTATTTCTTGATCTTTAAAGGCTTGCACAAACATCTCCTTAGGAAAAGACCCAAGACAAACCTTTCAAATGGGTGCCTTCCATGGACTATTTGGTCACAAGGTCCTTTGCATTCGAGCAGCAATTCTTCTTCCTCTGGGGAAATCAGAAGACATGTGGAAAAGGATTAGAACTTTTTTTTTTATCATTTCATCCCTAACTTCTGATATGAGAACACCTGAAGAGTTAATAACTTGCTACTGAATAGAAAATGCTCTTAGAGAATGTTCTAGAAGCCTACATTGTACATGACCCCCTGACGGATACATTGACCCACCTTTAGGATCCAGCTCAAGCATTCCCCCACTTTCTTATATCATCACTAACTTTCCTCTCAGAGTTAGAGAGCTTGGCATCTGATGACACCTCATTTTTACATACGTGTGTTTTGCCAAAACTCACTTCCACAGACATTCATGTTGACAAAACACAAGAATCAAGACTGAGATCAGGTGAGGACAAAGATGAATCAGATACAACTTTTGCTTCTTCCAAAAGTTTTTGAGTTATTTAAGTGCCGCAGGAGAGGTTCAAGAAGATGGAGAAAGCACCTCCACTTTGGGGATTGGAAAGGACCATCTTAAGGGAGGTGGGATTTAAAGTAGGTCTCACGCACTTGCTAGGATTTGGGCTGGTCTGGAAGCAGTAGCGGAGACAGGATTAGACACCTGGAATCAGGGCATGTCAGGGCACGCCTGGGACTCTGGCTGTGTTTGTTCGGTGTGCACGATGGGGAACACTTGAAGGATTTTTGGTGAGGAAGTACTATGATCAGAGTCGTTATGAATGGAGTAATGATTTGGTGAATTAGAGAAGAGATGGGCAGAGGTGTAATATCAGATCCTAAGGTATTTTATTAGTTCAGTAAATTGGAAAAAGGGCATGCACTAAGGTCATAATTCTGGAAATGGGAAGGAAAGGTAGAGGCTTATTAGTTCTGGCAGAAAAGAAACAATGTCAGAGTTGTTCAGTTTTCCTTCCTCCAGGCCCAAAGCATTTATTAAGCCTGCAGTAGGTGCTTGATGAGTTCTAACAGATTGGCAATTTGGGAATGCTTTGTTCCACTCCCGCTGAGAGCTGTTTCTGATGGAAGATGGGTTATGTATGGACGGTTGGAAATGTAAGAACATAATACAGAAGGCAGAGAGCTACAGGGCTTTAACTCCTGGGGGAAAAAATCCTTCTTAAATTTACTGACTGATTATAGGCAGGCTTAGTGGTTAAGAAATGCTAAGTGCTTTTAAGCATGAAATAATTAAAAGAGATAAGTAAAAGTCTAGGAAAGACTTTAAAACAGAAGTTAGGTTTAAATAGTAAATAGCTGGGGATACGACTAAAATTTTGAACATAAATTTAAATTCTGATTTTATGGGATGTATCAGAACCAAAATTATGCCAAAAATGAATCTTCAGGAAAAATCTAGTCTTAATATTTGCTTTAAAAATAAAATACATTAAGCCTGAATACTGGCATTCAGTAACACCAAAATTGTACAGTACATACAACACATAAATTGTACAGTACAGTACAGCTCTGGAAACATCATCAGGTCCCCTTGGCCCAGAAGCCCATTATCCAGCAGGATAGCGGAGCGGCGAAGCTTTGCTCATACTCCAGAGCCTGCCTGTCTACACTGGGATGCTAGCTCCATCACCTTCACCTGGTGGGATTCTGTACAAATACTTAGCCCTGTCCTCTGTTTCCTCATCTACAGGAGGAAAATAACAGTACCCGTTTCAGAAAACTGGTATGGGGATTAAAAAAATTAATTTTTGTAAAGCAGTTAGAACAGTGCCTGGCCTAGTCCCATACAATTATAACTTTAATGATAACTAACTAGATTTCTACAATGGAATTTATTTTTTTCAAATCCTCATCATTCCTGAAATATCTTTTCTTCCAGGTACCAACAGTTGGATGGAATAACAAAAAGGTGATTTTTGTTGTTGTTATGTGGTTTAAAAAATATTTTAAGCCCTTTTAAACTGTATAATGTCATTATTTATCTGCCGTGGTTTCCATATTGTCCTACCACGTCAAAGTGTATTTGGATACCAATAAGCTTGGATAAAAATACATTGGTGGAAAATTGGCCCAAAATAGGTTGGTAACCCTAATAAGCAGTTTATGTAGTCTGGGTGAGGTACCAACTAGGTAAAAAGTCTATTTTTACTTGACATCAGTACCAATTATCAAGGAAAGGTATATTCAGACACAAATAAAACTTAGTACTGATGCTGAATTTAGAAGTAAAGTTAATTTCAATAAAAACTGGATGTGGAAAAAATGAGTACCTGAAGCATAGTCATTCCAAGGTTTGTTGGTCAGTGAAAAAGCTCCATTCCAAAACCCCGGGGAGTAGGGAGGATGCGGAGTAGAGACAGAGGAAATGAAAGTGTATCAAATGCATAGGACTCCAGGGCAGGCGTCTTAACTGATGCTCAAGTCAGACCTTTCCCAATGAGGCCCAAAGGCAGAGGTTACTTACTGCCGCTCTATACCTCTTGGCCAGTTAAACATCCTAAATGTTTAGTTGAGTTACTTAAATGTTGCACTTTGGTTCTGTATTATCTGGATAATTCATACGGAGGTGGGTAGAGAAAGTCTGGAGGAGGCTGTTGTAGTAATTCAGAGGAGCGGTGTCATGTGCCAGGACAACGAAGGGGATGGAGAAGGTTAGAGAGATTCTAGAAGTAATTAGGGAAAATAATGTACAGAACTTGGAGATACTTTACACATGAGATGGGAGGATTGAAGGGAGGGAGGAAACAACAAAGCTAGGGGGGGTGCCTGGTTTAGGCCGCTTAGTGGGGGCTGTTCTGGGAGGATGGTGGGGGACGAGGGGAGGTGGGGAAGATGCGTTCAGTCCGGTTTAGGACTGCAGAGGTCCAAATGGAGATGCCAGGTACACAGGAGGTGTACGGATCTGAAGCTTAGGAAAGGAATCTGTGCCGAGGGGACAGATGGGCTGCCAGGCACAAGTGGCAATTAAAACAATAAAAGTAGATTAGGGATTTTATTGTACAAAGTTAACACAGAGTGTGGGCTTCATTTTTGTCAACAAGGACTCAGGAAAAAAAGGGAAAACAAAGAGAGAAAGAGAGAGAGAGGGAGGCAAACCAGGAAACAGACTCTTAGCGATAGACAACAAACTGAGGGTTGATCCAGGGAGGCGGGCGGGGGTGGGCTAGATGCGGGATGGGCAGGAAGGAGGGTGCTTGTGCTGAGCACTGGGTATTGCATGAAAGTGATGAACTACTAAGTCCTACACCCGAAGCTAAGATTACGCTGTATGTTAAGTAACTTGAATTTAAATGGAAACTTGAAAAAAAAACAATTAAAAAAAAAAACCACAAGTACTCAGGGCATCTTCATTCAGTCTTTGGTAATAGTGTCCTTCACATATATTTATATTATGATCTGGATCAACCTGAGTATTACAGTTTTTTGGTGCCCAGACTGGACTGGAGGTAAGCATAACGGTTAAAATTCTGAGTTCTGGGGACGCCTGAGTGGCTCAGTGGTTGAGCATCTGCCTTCGGCTCAGGTTGTGACCCTGGAGTCCTGGGATCAAGTTCCACGTCGGGCTCCCTGCATGGAGCCTGCTTCTCCCTCTGCCCGTGTCTCTGCCTCTCTGTGTGTGTGTCTCTCGTGAATAAAAAAAAAAAATAAAATCTTTTAAAAAAAATTCTGAGTTCTGTTTTAAGGAGGCATATTTATCCTGAATGTAAGGTAACCTATGTTCACCAAAATGTTGTATGTTTATGTATCCTAGACTACAATGTGTGTGTGTGTGTGTGTGTGTGTGTGTATAGTACAGGGATGTAATTTATTTTATAATGGGTACAATGATTGAATAATATAATAAATAGTTATGCTGAAAATAAAATCTCCTAAACAACATACGAAGCATTTATTTTTTAAAAACCCACACAAAAAAAGCATTTTAAGCAATTCAACACTAGCACTAGCACAAGATTGAAGGCTGTGGGAGATGGAAGTAGACAGGACCCCGTATGAGGCTAAGAAGCTTCTAGTCTCTTATCATCAAAAGTCTAAGGTCAGCTAGGAAAGGAAAGGAAAAGCAACAGGCCTTGGTTACCTGTGTGGTGAGTCTGGAGTGGAGCTTGTGGTCTGACAGCCAAGGATGCTTGAGCGCTTCGCTTGCACTTATTCTCCAACTAAAGGGAAATTCAGAAAGCTGTTAGCAAAGACACATCAAGGAGGCCTGAATCTGTCATTCACCTCAGCTCTGGCCATTGTCTTTAGGAGACCAGATGGCCAAATGTCAAATTCACAGGCAATGCTATCTTTTCTAGAACTATCCTGGACGGTTGTGGGTTACCACCAAATCAAGTCGGGGTAACAACAGCAGTAAGACAAGTGAGGCAAGTAATTCAAAATTCTTGTTCCTAACTGAACATCTACTTTCCAATACAAGTAACCATTTCTTTCATGCAATGTTTGACCTTCATGAATTGAACCTCTATCCATCAGTGGGAAAATAAATGTTTACTTACTATCGCAAGAGCAAAATGCTACAATGATTCTTGATAATCACAAAAGTGATTTATATATTAAAACGCTTGAATAATATGTATCACTAACTTTTCAATTGAGAAATTCTGGGGGCGTCTGGGTGGCTCAGTTGGTTAAGCGCCCAACTCTTGGTTTTGGCACAGGTCATGATCTCAGGGTCATGAGATCGAGCCCCACATCAGGGTCTGCAACACGCAAACATAGAGTCTGTTTGGGATTCTCTTTCTCTCTCCCTCTGCTTCTCCCACTCATTCTCTCTCTCTCAAATTAAATTAATAAATCTTTAAAAAAATTTTTTGAAGACTTAAATAGATAAAGAGTTAATATAAGTATGGAGAGAGAGTACATTAGATACCTTTACAAAAGAACTATATCCTTTTGAGCCAGCAAATGTTTATACAATTTAAAAAATAACAGGAGAATTATAAAGATTATATAATATTCTAATTTCAAGTTTTGTAAACTTATCTTGAGTGCTAACGTTTATCACATTAAACCAAATAACCTTTCAAAATAAAAACTCTAAGTGAGCACAACAATCTGGAATCTATTTCTGAAACAGTATCAAGAAAGTAGTTTCCAACAGTCATGGAATTTCAGTTTGCAGATTGCTTCAGTAAAATTGCTTCATCAGATACCAAATATTTAAGTATGAGACTCGAAGAGACAATAACTCTTTAATCCATGAAGGAAGGTTTAAGAACTTGGTGACAACATCACCATTAGTGAGATTTTAAACAGGCAGGTATAATTTTTTTAAAAACTCGTGACCTCTACCAACCTCAGATGGAAGTGCCATTTTGTTCCGTATTGGACCCCTAGAAGCATTTCAATAGCTGACAGTGCCAAAAAATTATTATTTCTGCCCTATAGTAATGCAAACTTCTGAAAGTTGACTATTAAAAAGTTAGCAATAACATAGTACTAATAATTAAATTTTTAATGCAATTTCATGTTTATTTTGTACCCAGAAATACATTCTATGAGAGTGGTGTCAGGTGTTGGCCTTAGTTTCAGCCAACTATTGATTTGAATACTCAGGCAGGTGTCACTCTGCCCAAATGTGTAACTACCCCTCTGAAGGTGTCGCCCAGACCAAAGGAAAGGGCAGGGCCTGGCACTGGAGGCCAACAGGCATGGTTCTGACTCTGCCTTGTGCTCTGCAACTGCTTCACTGCTCTCAGCCCCTGTTTCCTCATTTAATTCAATCACATAACACATAAAAGTTTATTTGTCAAATAGATTCTCAGTAAATGTAGAGCTCACCCACCAAAGATTTGATAGAATTGACATTTTTCCATCTGTTCACTGCCTGGTGTTCAGTGACATGCAAATTATAATCATAATAGTAACATCAGCTGTTGTGACTTCCCATTAAAGATCAAACCCATGTCTGTGCAGTGCCCCCTCCTCAGACTGACACCCCCAGCCTGGCTAAGTCCTCCTTACCTCCTAGGACCCAGTCCTGACTGACCCTTTTCGATAAATTCTATCTGCATTAACTGCATTGCATTATATATTTTTAATAAATATCTATCTCTTCTCCTAGATCATGGGTTCCCTAAAGGCAGGGATTGGACTTTACACAACTGTTCTCGATGCCCCAGACACATTTCTTGGCAATTGTAGATAAAGCACCTCCATTGTGTCAGGCATTGCTCTAGCCTCATGCTGCTTCTTTAACCCCCAACTTCCAAGTACACCCTCCTATCTATTCAAGGTCATGTTTGTTAATAACTTAAAAACCATAAAGATGATAAAACAATGAAGCAAGTATTGAAAATCCTAAATGGTATTTACCATTCTTATGTTTTAGATATAAAACCATCTGAAACCATGTTTTTGCCCCTGCCTGTAATTCTAAAATGTAAGCACCCTATGTTTCAAGGTCATTCTTCTTCATCTGCTGAAATTTTTTTTTAAGATTTTATTTATTTATCTGAGAGAGACGGCACAGGCAGGGGAGAGGGAGAGGGAGAAGCAGACTCTGCGCTGAGCAAGGGAGCCCGATGCAGGGCTTGATCCCAGAACCCTGAGCTGAAGGCAGACACTGAACAGACTGAGCCACCCAGGCGCCCCCGTCTGCTGAATTTTGAAGTAATGTGGTTTTACAATGAAAGAAAGTAGAAGGCCATGTAATATGGAAGAGTTAAATGTGCAGCCTTAGGGGAAGGTTGACATGTTCGACTCTCAGTTCTGCATTGACCAGCCGTATGACCTTGGGCATACTATTTAGAATCTCATCCATAAAATAGTAATGATAATTCCCACCTTCTGGAGATGGATGGGGATTAAAAGCCAGGCCTTTTAAGCATGTGGCATAGTCTGGCCCACTGTTGGTTCTCAAGTGACATGATAGTTAAGTGTCCAGCTACACAGAGACGGATATGTGCTTCAGAGATGTGAAAGGGGTTATGGAAATAACTTATCCCACACCCTTCATTTTGAGGCCCAGCAAGAGGCCCTAATTGCTGGAGCCTTATTGCAAAAGGCAGAAGGAAGGAAGATTTTATAGCCCCTTTCAAGTCTCATGACCAAACCAATCCCTGATCTCTGTAAACAAAGTCAAGAGCATCAAACGCCTTCCAACTTTGCATGGACAGTGGAGATGTCACTAATGGAATTCGGGAATGATTTACAGGAATTGTGGTAGCCTATGCTCCCCCATTTCTCTCCTTATTCCAGAGCCCAGAACAAACTTGGGTTACCTCTTCTCCTTAATCAGAAGCTTGGAGATAAACTCCCTGGCCTCCTCCGAGATGTCCTGAAACTCTTCATCCTCTAAGTCCCACCTGCAGGCCAGGATGTTGTTCAGGGTCTCAGCATCATTATCACCCAGGAAGGGGGACAAACCACTAAGCCTGTAAGACACAGGATCCAGAGTGAGTCTTGTTTAAATAGCTTCAAACCCTTTACAAATAGGTTGCTTTTTCTTGGTTTGTCGTTTAAAACTGAGAGAAGGCGAATAACCTGATAATTAAACATAATTTTCCAATGTATTTTTGCAATCAAGAAAATGCCGCACTCCCCCACCCCGGCCCCTAATTAAACACCTGCAGCTCTGGGGTGAGCAGCCACACTGAAATATGAATCTCTAAGGATAGCACAACTTCCTTTTTAAAGCGTTTACCGCTGCTAAAGTCTGCCCCACATTCAGATGGCAAACACCAACGTGTCACCCTTGAGGAGTAAGGCTAGCAGTAGTCATTTAGGAGATAGGACGCAAGTTGCTTTTTAATTACTTTTAGGGTATTAAGTGGAGTCCTAAGAGTTAGAGGGATTACAAGTAGACATACATTTACTTTTTCTGGTGATGCAAGGGGAAGAATTGATGTCTTTCACCCACAGGATTCACAGAGCCTAGAAAGTGACTCAATATGGCAGGACATTATTTATTTTTTAAAAGACCTACATTGGGCAATTTTTCCTATCTGCAAGTGTCAGAGAGACTGGAGATCTGCTTACAGCATATAGGCAATGACGCCCACACTCCACATGTCAGTGGGAAAGGAAACAAAATCATAGTTCACGACTTCAGGGGCAAGGAATTCTGGAGTTCCAAAGTTCACCTTCAGCTTCTCTCTGGGTTTGTATCTGAAATTCAAGGGACAAAGTGGAGAGATGGAGAGGGTCGGTCAAAAAGCAACAATCATAGAAACTGCAAAGATGCAGCCTATAAGACAGAAATAACTTCAGCCACACAGGAAATTTTAAATACACAGGCTTTAGAGGAAATCGCGTATTTAGTCACAAGTTAAAAACTTGTGAAGGAGTCAGGAGTTTAAGAGTCACAATTCATACTATAAAACCTTAATAATCTGAAACAGTGGTGGAGGAAGCCAGTGAGAATAACTAGAAACACTGAATTGCAGAACACAATGAAAGGAAAACTGACACAACCCTTGCCATGTCGATGGCTTGAGTATACCCATATTAATGAGTAAATGAAATGCAATAATTTGCATCCTTTCAAATTCTCCACTAATATTATATGTGCTGAGGCCCACATATAAACTCTGTTCACGTAAGAAGCTTATATGTACCGGAACACTTAGCAACCTTGTTGACACTCTTCATTTTTTTTAAAGTAAATCTTCTCTTTACAAACAGAACAAATATACAAGACTAAGACAAACTTACAAATTCTAAGCTAATGTCTCCAAATTTCATAACCTCACTGTATTAGATTTTAAGTTTTCTGATGTTTTATTGGATACACTTGTAGAAGCCTCTAAACATTCCAATTCCAAAGTCAGCAAGGTAAGGCCGGGATATAATTTTTGTCAAGTTAGTTCTAAATGAGAGTCTGAAGCCAAAGAGGTGTATCAGATTTATCTTTGCAAAGAAAGCACCATCCTGCTCCCTGCCTCCGTTCATATACCTATGCCCAAACACACATACCTTCTGGCCAATCCAAAATCAATAATTTTTATTTGCTTAGCATCCCGATTCACACACAGGATATTCTCAGGCTGCCAGGAGAAAGAGACACATTAGCAATGAAAACAGCCATCATTCACTCAAATTGTCCTCGAACCACAACTAAAAATACAACGATGCTCAGGAAAAACATATCAGGCCTTTCACTTTGGGTCTGGTTTGTCTGTGTGGGTATTTTCTCCTTTAATTTTGTGGTGGATGAGGTTGTGGGTACCCTGCCAACCTTGCATTACCCTGCCTGTCCCTCTCTCTGGTTCTCCAGTTTACCATAATGCGTGAGTTCAGGCAGAGGCCTCTCCGAGGGAAGAAAGACAAGGAGGCTGCTTCAGGGCCTTCCAAACGGACCGGTGGAGGCGGTCTCGGACTTGACGTCTGCCCCCCCACCCCACTAAAATTATTAAGTATGAATTTCCCCTTCTTGGAGGAATATCTTTCCCGAGGATTTATGAGCTCCAGGAGAAATGGCCTGATTCATTTGAACAGCCACACTGAGTACACAATATAATGTGGATACTCGTGACCTCCAGATTTTCCCTTTGCGCTTAGGCTATGGCTTCCCTGTGTAAAGGGAAGACATCCCCCTCGTTCATTCTTCATGCTCAGCAATTCCAAAGTTTCGCTGAGTGTGTTTCCAGTGCCCAAACCCTTGACTAAGTGTTCCCTTGGAGTTTAACTCAGGTAAGGCTCGGCTCCATCAAGCCAACAGTCTTGGGGGAAGTGGAAGAGGGAGAAGCGTGGACAGTAGAGCAATGCAACTCAGCGTTTGTAGAACATCTTACAGGTGTGCCTGTGTCTGTTAGGTCGGAAAAACTGAGGTCTGAGAGAAATAGGGAATTTGATTGAAAGTCTAGGTCAACCATAAAAAAAGAGAAATCAAGTTTTCGAAGAATTGCTTGGAACTCTCAAGCTCTAGCCCCAATTCATCCCTAAGAGCTGGGGTGCATTTGTTGAGTTGCTGAATCCCAGGACCCCGCGTCCCATTTAGGTGGGGTCACAGCTGCCCCTCCCCACCTGTCCGGGTAGAGAGGAGGTTCAAATGAGATCAGAAACTAAGAAGCCCTGAAAGAAATGATGTAGTGTCTCCTTATCAACACTCAGGGGTCCATTTGGTTGGCATAACGTCTTTCGAAGCCCTTTTCTAAAACATCTCTAAAACTGATGTCTATGAGTAAAAGCTATTTATAAACAAGTGGATGCTCTGTAAGAACATTTGGTTTTGTGCTTAGATAACTGATTAATCATGTATAAAGCTGTCCAATTGTCAAAGGATACTATGACATAAAAATGTGTTCACAGCTTTGAGGGCACTTGAAAAAGTCAAAAAAAAAATTTTAACCATGAAATGAAAGCATATTCATTGACTAAGATTTGCAAAACACAGAAAAAAATGTAAAGGAGGCCATTTTTCATTTTTAAGTCACTTATAATCTCCCCTCCATGGTGACAAGCACTCTTAATATTCTTGGCCATTTTCCTTCCATGGAGCTTTCTGCAAGGGATGAGTGGTCCTTAATGACCCATCCAGCTGTCGCCTTTACTATTATCTTTGCCTACAAGCCATAACTAAAATTGCCCATTGCAAGTCCTCAATCAATGCTATGAAGCCACATACAGAGCTATTTGACTTACGGTAGGTCAGGTCCTAGTTTTAGTTGCCAGTCAAATCCCTGTAGGGCTATCTGCGGAATATATACACTCAGCGAAAACGCTCCATGGCAATACACAGTATCAAACCCAGTTCGAAGCCAAGGGCTTTGCTAATGATTTTCAACCTCTGACTGTCTTTTATATACCACTTCCTCCTGCCCCGTGAATGGGAGGGGTAGTGCCCATAAATCAGGACAGTGAGGCAAGTTAAGTTATAAGAAGAGAGAACCGTGGAAACCCATTTAAGGAAGTTAAATTTATTTAGCTCTACAATCCCCGATGACTCGCAGTCGGTGGTATGTTATGTAGAATATATATTTTATCTCACGGTCATGCTGTGCAAACGGAGAAATGAGAAAATGATTGTGCCACACAAGAAGGGGCAATTTATGATACTTAGCCCCAATATTAGAGCTGATCAGAATTATTGAGCCTGGGTCTATCACTGGTTCTATGTACAGTCAAATTCTAGGACTTCATAATGGGGGAGAGATCAAATGGGAGGAGTCATTACATAAGAGAAGAAAGGCAGGTGGTTTGGCTCTTCACTATTCCAGAGGCCCTCTACCATGTCCAAAGTGGTGCTCGCCCCACCCGTACCACCCTTCTGGGCTCCTGAGCATGTTAGCACCACCCTTCTGGCTGCCCTGTATCCCATTCTGCTGTAGGTCTCTACTTGGTGCTCTAGCATGCCCACAGAAAAACAAATCCCTAAAGTCCAGCACCTCCTAAAAGACTTTGAGACTGCTAAGGATACTTGGAGAGCTGGAAAATTTGGCTACCACTAGGGACTTCTGAGTTAGCTAAAATCCTCCCACCTATTTATTCTAAAAATGAAAGGGATGCAACAAGGATGCCGTGATGGTGGGAGTGGTGGTGGTGGTAGTTCTATTTCTAATCTTTTAGGGAAAGCATCTCCCTAAATGTGGATTCCTTTAACACAGGCAAGTTAGAAGAATCTGAACAGCAGTCCCTGAAGATGGAGGTGTGCAAATATTAGGGGGTGACATTGCTGGGGATGGGGAGAGGACGATCAGAATCCAGGCTTTTATTAATTCCCAAATATGTACCTCATAACAGCATACATTTCCCAAGCTGGCATGGGGTACCGGACAGGGCCAACTGATCCATAGGAGGGGGAGGTGGCAAGGGTCTCATACCAAACAGAACACACCCTACCTTCAGATCCAAATGGAGAATGTACATCTGATGCATGTGTCTTATGCCCTCACATATCTGCTTGATGAACAGGATGGTGTCAAACTCGGTCAGATTGTAGTTGTCATCGATGATGCGATCGAACAGCTCCCCTCCATCCACACTGCAGAGAGAAGAGGCGTGAAGCCCTGAGTGTGACTCCTTCAGGAACACAGCTATTTCTTGGAGCAAGCAGCTGGCTGGTCGAACTCCCCTAACTCTTCCAACAGGTGTGTGGACACAGTGACCTCTCCAGCCCCATCGCTATCTCCGCCAGATGATGCTTGTGCTGAAGGCCCTTATTTTAATTACCATCAACTTCACAACTGGGCAGCCTCAGGGTGCCTGTCATCCAGTGGCTGCCACTCTGGAGTGAACCCACATCTGCCATCTCCTGACATATATGGAAGATAAAGAGGACCCTACGGAGGTAGAGAGAGGAATCCCAAACACCAAGCAAAGGCCAAACAGGGTCTCCTCGGGCTACTTTCAGTGTTAACGTGCTCCTATGTGCTTCTGATGCTGGACATTTTATTACCCAAAATTCCTATTGCACAATGACCAACAAAACCCCAAGTGGAGGAAAGAATGAACTGAAGCACAACACTGATTCAGTGTTAGTTAGAACTACTCTCTTATTAGATACATGTTAATTTTTTATAAAAGTGAATTTAAATGGAAGTTTCTTAGCCCTAATTATTAAGAATTTGATGTGAACTTTGTATTAATGATTAGGTCGAAAAGAAAATGTGGTTCAAGAACCACTTCCCTTCAGGTTAACCCGAGTAGTATTTAGGTTGGCTGTTTGACATGTAGCTTAGATACAAAGCTACACTTATGCTGTCATTCTACTTCTTCTCAGTAATATCACACATGGAGATGTGTTTTCCTGTGTGCTTTTCCTTCTGAAACTGATGCAGTTGTCTGACACACGCCAATCAGAATCAGGGGTGCACCAAACAGGGATCCAGCAATTTCTGAAGCAGGATAGAGTGGCAGCCACATAGTCACAGATGCCGTGGGGCGCTCCAGATGTGTGCGCGCAGCTGTGCAGGGGAGGGGATGGGGGCAGAGGAAAACACGTACTACTCCATGACCAGGACAATGTCATTCTTAGACTCAAAGGCATCGTAAAGCTGAATGAGGTTCACGTGATCCAGCTGGTTCATGATGTTGATCTCGTTCTTCACTTCATCCTAAGAAGATGGAAAGACGCTTTAGTGAAGAGAAGATGATGGCAAGGAGAGATCCACATTGCACGGCTTTTACCTTATCCTTTGTGCCTCTGGTCTTGATGATCTTGGCCGCCAGCTTCAGACCTGTTGCTTTCTCCTCACACTTGTGAACCTGGCCAAAGCGCCCCCTGCCAAAGAAGAGCATGTGGCACAGCGTGAGGGGAAGCCAAGTGGAAGACGCGGTTGTCCCGGGGCATTTCTCTTTTTGGGTTAACCTGTGAATGCAGCCAATAAACTTCTAAAACGATGTCAAAGTGTGGTCTATCAGTCACAGGCATCAGAATCCACTGAGGGGTTTCCTGGCCCTACCCCAGACCTGCTGAGGCACAAATGCAAGGTGAGGTCCCAGAATCTGCATTTTCATGACGTTCCTTGGGTGATTCATATGCACCCTAAACTGTGGGAACTTCTGTTATAGAAAAAAAACAAAATCTTTCTGAATCCACTTGAAGGTAATAGGCTGAGCTTTGTGAGCCTATGAACAGTACAGGCTATAGGTCAGGCATGTAAAATTATTTTTGGAAACTGCATATAAATAAAGTAATAACAATATCACATATAGATACGTATAATAAAAATACATATCACATAATCACCCATGAGATTTTACCCTCCTAAAATTGGATATACATTTATATTTACCTTATAGGACAGCTTCTTACAAATGTAATCACATATAGAAGTGCACACTCATGAACGAGCTTAAAATTTGACTCCTTGCTTTGATTCCTGATTTAGTAAAATAGAATGCAGGTGCCTGCTTGTGCAATGTGGCTGTCATGCGGGGGACAGAGGGGAAGCTTCCTGAATGACACTGTGACCCAAAGGCCCACCACAATCTTGGAGGACTGCAGACGTGAGGATGGTGGCAGCAGCTGCCAGAGACGGGGTGGTGACTGCCACCACAGCCCACTCCACTAGGCAGGACAGATGGGGCTTGGAGAATGTTACTGTAAACACAAGCCAAGGGATGACTGTAATTCCAACTACCCTTCCAGGTGTAGTCTCTCCTGGAGCACTTGAACACAGCCCCAGGCACCTCACACGTGGCTGCGGATGAAGAAAATGCCCTGGGGGCACCTGGGTGGCTCAGTGGGTTAAGCGTCTCACTCTCCATTTCGGCTCAGGTCATGATCTCAGAGTCCTGAGATGGAGCCCCTCGTCGGGCTCCCTGCTCAGTGGGGAGTCTGCTTCCCTTCTCTCTCTCTCTCTCCTTCTGCCCTTGCCTCTGCTCTCTCTCTTTTTCTAAAATGAAAGAGAAAAGAAAGAAGAAGAAAGAAAGAAGAAGAAAGAAAGAAAGAAAGAAAGAAAGAAAGAAAGAAAGAAAGAAAGAAGAAGAAGAAGAGCGAGCATGCCCTGGGAATTGTCCCAAAGTGCCTTCTACAGATAACACTCTACAAACAAACTGTGGCTGGCTTGCCCCTGAGGTCCCTGAAGACTCGAGTGAGCTACTAGGTGCAGCTCGTGGGAAGACTCCCATGGCACCTCTTCACGTGTCGGAGCTCCTGGTTGTGCCTCTGCCCTTCCTCACAGTCCCTATAACCAGCAGGCTGAGGAGCAAAGCATCCAGGTGGCTCCTCATGGCCAAAGAAACATGGGGCAGGGAGAGGAAGAGGGATTTCATAAATACCAACCACACCCCCAACGATCAAATGCAGAAACACGTACTGTTTCTAGCAGCTACGCATATTTTCCACCTGTTGGTAAGTAAATTTTGTGTATATCAGTATAAATGTTCTGCTTCCTTTTCCTATTTCACACAGAGATGCTGACAGTAGCAAACTTTATAATTTCGCCTTTACATTAGGAGATCTCAAAGGGGGACCGTGACTGGTGTAAAAGAGGAAGGAATATCCCCCAGTAATACACTTGGCCCCTGATGGACTGCACTCTTCCTTCTTCAGGGAGAGAGTCTGCATTTAGACGCCCTTCAAAAAAAGTCAAATTATTCAGTGAGGGAGACAATCGAAATGGATAATAGTAATTAATATAGTAACAACATAAATGTAAAACCAACAACAATGAGATAAAAGATTTAATACGTGCCACAAGAAATACATAGTGTTCACTCATTTCTACATTTTGTGTCTCTGTTTTCAAGTTTTGGACAGCTTCAAAACCTTCTCACTGGTGACTCACTGGGGCTTCTCCCAATTTCAGACATTACAACATGGGAAGTAAAGCAGATAATAAATGTGGACTTTAGTCACTGTCACCACATCAACCTTTCTGACATCAGTGGTGATTTTCAGAAATGGTTAAAATCTCTTAAAATGTTTGTTTATGATGTTTCTGGTTCTCGGGTCAAGACCAGCAAACATTTATGAAATCCTCAAAATCCGTCTCTTTGAAAACTCTCTTATTTTGTTGAAAGCATATTAAAATTGAGCATGACTTACCCTCCTAAAATTTCCGTTCTGCTCACGGTATAAAAACTGTTGACGGCTGCTTGTTTGGCTGTCACGATACGGTGATTAAATGGGGCAGGAGGAGCTGGGACATCATCTAGATGGTGAGAGGAAGAGAAAGGCCATTTGTTAAGCAGTCAGACCTCTTTTTTTGGCACCAGCACTAGGTCTCAGAATGAAATAAAATGCGCCATCTATTTTATTCCTAACGATCCAGGGAATATATGTTTTTATTTCATATTATGGTCTGTAATTCATGAAGGTGACACCTTGCCATCTTTCAGAAAGAATGTCAGGACCACGAAACTATGGTTTACACCATCTTTAGGACAACTTTTAGAAATGTCACAATAGTTTAAAATCTCCAAACCCAATACAGTCCATATAGATAATCCTCCCAAGCCTGAAACCATTTAAGTTCAAAGATGAGAAATTGCTTGGTTCACTTTTTTTTCTAAAAAAAGCACCACTGATAAGGTCCATTATTTTAATTAAAGGGAAGAGAGAAAGATAGAGTTTCTTCATGTCATTGAAATGCTTGATATTATTCTATATTAATTTCCAAAATATTTTAGCTTTTATTTAAGACACATTTAAGACAAAAAAAGATAAATTTTTCCTGGCTGGAAATGAAACCAGTAAAACTGGCTAAGTACATATTCTACAGCTCTCAAATTTCTCCCACTTCCCACCCTTCGGTCTAAGTGTTTAAACTCTAGTCCATGTCACGATTGGCTCTAAAACACATACTCAGTAATGTTCTTCCACCATTCTTTTCACTTTTCCATGGTTTGTTCTCTGTGGGTCTATTTATTTCCTCATTTATTCCATATTTAAGCATCTACTGCATGCAGATTCTTACATGCATACAGGGGTACAAGGGGAGGTGAGTAGATAATAACTTTGCTTTAGGAACTTTAAATGTATTCAACATGTAATTCTTGAGCACTTATCTTGTGCTAGGCACTCTGCCAAGTGTTAATATTTTTAAGAACTCAGATAATAGAAGTCTCCAGAAATCTGATTTGATATAGACATTCATCTCTCTCACCATAAATATGCTGAAAACTAAAGAAGTCATGAAAGAATTCTCTTGGTGGCATTCATTTCTTCAGACCAAAAAAGGAAAAAATAAAGGTGATTGAATTACATACACAAATGGCATCAGTGTGGCATTATGTCTCCTTCAGGCTGTTAGGCTAAGGGAGATTTAGTTGGAAATGCTTACTGGAAAAGGTTAAGAAGCTTTAAAAGCCTGAAACAAAAGCATTTCCTACCCAATGGGGTCACCAGATCTTGCTGCCTGGAGGTCTTACTTCCAGCGGACTCCAGGGGTTTGCCTTGGAAGCCTCCTCTGGCTTGTCTGGTTTCCTGTGTCCTAAATGCGTGTCCTTCACCTGGACTTGCTACATCTATTCTGCTTTTTTTGTTGTCCTCTTTGGTGAAGCACTCGTCCATCACCCTCCTCTTGCTGCTGCCAGTGTGCTCCGCTTGCTCAGCACTCTGGAAAATGGGTGCTATTTCTGGGGTTTCCGGGGTTCGTGATGCAGAAATGGCTTCTATATTGCTGATACACCTGGAAAATAAAATCCAGCTGCAGGTCTCAGCGTTTCAAGGAGTTGGCCTTCAGATGGTTAGAAGTTTTAGACCTAAATAAAGCTTCCTTAACATGGTGTTCTGGTGAAGCTTTATGACAGAGTTGGGCTGTTTCAGCATTTGGGATTTAGAAAAAAAAAAAGAAAGAAAGAAAGAAGCCTGATTTCCCCATCAAACAACGCAGCACAAGAACAGGTGCAGATAAGTGGGACTCCCAGGACTCTTCCTGTCGACCTTTGCGACTCCAAGTTATTTCACTGACCCTTTACAAAAGCAGTCATTTTATGAATACCTAGCTAATTCAGTCTTCATTCGTTTCACTTCCTTTTCTTATAGAGGAGAGAGATTACTAAATTAAAGTATGCTAGAGGAAGCAGTCATGTCTCTGAATATTACCAGCGGGAAGAGTAAACCTTAAATTTAGTTCATATGAATTGAACTAATTTCAGTTTTTTAACAGCTCCCTACCTTACTAAGCACATCTTTGCAGCGATGGACTTTCTTAATAAAATTAGTCTTTATGTTTAATTCTTTTTTTAATTTTTATTTATTTATGATAGTCAGAGAGAGAGAGAGAGAGAGGCAGAGACACAGGCAGAGGGAGAAGCAGGCTCCATGCACCGGGAGCCTGATGTGGGATTCGATCCCGGGTCTCCAGGATCACGCCCTGGGCCAAAGATGGGCGCCAAACCGCTGCGCCACCCAGGGATCCCTTTATGTTTAATTCTTAAAACATTAGACTTCTCCATGATCAGGTTTCAAATACATTATTAAAATAAATGAAATAAAAATTATATCTTAATTCCCTAAGAAACACACAGATATGTAGATATTCTGTTCCAAATGGAGTCTGTGGCCCATCACAACATAGAGTAATTAATTGATTGTGATTGGCTACATAATTACCTGAATTTATATGTGAAACTTTGCAGTTGAGGAAGAGTCCTTAAATAATCTACTTCTTACTCAACCCTCACAATATTCTAGGAAAATAGCCAACTAATCACATATAATCAGATGGGCAAACTTTTTCAAAATTAGTCTCTTAACTTACAGATAAATCTGGTCCTATTATTCAATGCTTGATCTTAGGAAGGATGTGCTCTATATTGCTAAAAATAAGAACTTTTTACTTAATCTTTTAAAAATATTGATTGATAATAATCATTATCTTTGTCGACCAGTTGGTAGAAGAAAACAGTAAAAATGCCTGAGAATGTCATGGGCAAGAAGAAAAAGTAATGGCAAGAGAGCAGGCCCACACCAGCTGGGAAACTGGTTTCTAAATTGCTGCTTTAAAAATTCACTTCAGCCCTCCTTTTGGTATGGCCTTAAGTTGCAATGCATAGATCTACCAAAAAAATCAATTGTAGGTGTGTAATGCTTCAAACCCTACCTTCCACAGGATTGATCCCTGTTAGTTTTATCAACACACTGCTTTTTATTTGAACTCTTGTCCAACACTGTTTCGTTTGCTGGTCCTTCTTTCATTTCAACTTTGCTTTCGCTAGTATCTTCTTTAGAATGAAGCCCATATTTCTCTCCTTTGAACACTAGACATTCATTTTTATGCACAGTGGCTTGTGTATCACCTCCAGGACTCTTATCTTCTTGTCTGTTCAGTCTCTCTGTGCTCAAAATGTCTCTTGTGTCTACATTTCCTCTCGGCTCTATGGAAGTTTTTAGAGCAAAATCTTGTATCTCGTCTTGTGGTCTTTCTGTATGAAATGTGGCAAAGCTTCTCTGAATTAGAGAGGCATTGGTCTTCTCAGAATTTTTCTCGTTGAGTTTATTAACTTTTTCTTTCTCAGAGGAGGGCTGGTTCTTCTGGGAAGATCTCTCTAAAAGCCACAAAATATTTTAATGGAGGACGCATGTGATCAGTATAATTTCCACTTCATTATCATGGCATTTCTATTCAGGTTTCTCTTTATCAGAAGATATAAGCTTTTGAAAAGCAAAGTAGAAGTGAATGTGACCAACTGGCTGACATTTGGGTTCCCAAAGATTTCCTAGTTTGTAACTAGTAGGACCCAAAGTCAATCAAATAAAGATATCCACACAGCACTTCTCCCGACACATGGCTTTATGAACACGTAACTCCCTCTGAATAGGAACAATCATAACGGGACTTTTACACCAGAGCTTTTTCTAGGCATAAATATCTAGTCTCCTAAAGATGTTACCTGTGAGAGTGGATGTCCTTTTGCCTTTGACAGGTGCTGTTTCCTTCGTGCCATGATGTGACCATGTCTTCTCCTTAGCCTATGGATACACAATTGAAAAATTGAAGTCACTTAGTAATTACATCAGGGTTTCTCAACCTCAGCACTACTGATACATGGGGTGGATAATTCTTTGTGGTGGAAAATGTCATGAGCACCATAGAATGTTTAGCAGCGTCTCTGTCCTCTACCTACCAGATGATGATGGTATCTTCCCTCAGAGTTGTAATATCCAAAAATGACTTCAGACATTGACAAATGTCCCCTGGGGAGTAAAAATCATCCCAGATTGAAAGCCACTGTATTTCATGATTCAAAAACAGAAAGAAAAAAAAACCCACTAAAATTAATAGTAAGTTAGAGGGCAGGACAGTCTGAATTAATGAAACTGTATAGACTACAATATTTGAAAACAAATGAACTTATGACTCTAAAAGAAATTCTATTAAACTCTAGCATTGTTTATAAAAGAAAGCCCATCTTCATGATTAGATTAAAGGATATTGATAATCTATGTTACCTCTGACCTTTGTTTATATTGTCTTGATATGGTTCACATATAAATCAGATGAAAATGAGAGGATATATGTGAATAGGTTTTGTAAACCAGAAAGTAAGAGCCTAAAGTAAGCTTTTACAAATGAGTTTTCACATGGCTTAGAACAGATGGCCCTTTTCCTAGGCAGATAAACATCCTTCTCACAGTCTGGCTTTTCTGAATTTGCTTAGCCAACTTTTCTTAAATACCACATAAAAGATAAACATTAGCCCAATCCACCCAACTTATCACAAATTCTGAAGTTACGCATTATAAATGCACGAAATTGTATGGATGTCCAAAGAATCAGTCTTCTTTTCTTTGGAAAGAGAGCAAAATTTGCCTTAGGGTGACTTTTAAGCATGAAACGCCACGTGAGTGTGGCTCAGGGCATCAAGACAAACTGCTAATGTACTTTTAAATAATCCCAGAGGCAGTCCCATAGGTTCAGAGCATTTCCATTTTTCAGAGAGAGACTTTGAAACACAAAGGTATGTTTAGTAAATCTGGGGAAAACCAAAATTAGAGATTACAGCCTCAGAGTTGTAACTTCCTCTTTTTTTTTTTCAAGATTTTATTTATTTATTTGAAAGAGAGAGAAAGAGAGCACAAGCAGGGGGAGCAGGAGAGGCAGAAGCAGGCTCCCCACCGAGCAGGGAGCCAACATGAGGCTCTGTCCCAGGACCCTGGGATCGTGACCTGAACCCAAGGCAGACACTCAACTGACCGAGCCACCCAGGTGCCCCTGCAATTTCCTCTTTTAAGTGAAAGTGCAGGACAAATGTTCTTCAACTTCCTCGGGCAAAGCCAGTTGCTCGCTCCCCTGTGCACAGCACTCAGCATGTGTGCCCACCCCAGCATCACTTGCAACACTTGAAACGTTTTTCCTGTCAATTTTCCCCTAGCTTGTAGGCCTTGCTTAAATAGGCAGAAAGACTGATTCATCTTTGAATCTCTGGCACTTGGCCCAGAGACCAGGATATAGTGATGATGGTGGTGATGATGATGATGATGGCGGTGGTGATGATGTCAATGATGATGATGGCTAATATACACGAAGCACTGTCTACATACCAGGAACATTTCTAAACATATTATTAACTGAGTTGATCCTCACAGCAATTCTTTGGGATACATACTATTAGCCACATTTTATAATGAAATCAGGTAATTTCTAAGGTTTAAACAATTCAGAAATGGTTTGGCCAGGATTATTAATCAGTCATCTACTTCATTCTGTGCTCTTAACTAATACCTTGTACTGTCACTCAGGAAAAAAAATTGATTATAGGCAAAGTATGAGGTTAGTATTTATTGATTATCTATCACACAGCCAGTACCACAAGAAGATGAAGAGAGAAGGGGGATCTCTGGGTGGCGCAGCGGTTTGGCGCCTGCCTTTGGCCCAGAGCGCGATCCTGGAGACCCGGGATCGAATCCCACGTCAGGCTCCCGGTGCATGGAGCCTGCTTCTCCCTCTGCCTATGTCTCTGCCTCTCTCTCTCTCTGTATGACTATCATAAATAAATAAATAAATAAATAAATAAATTTAAAAAGATGAAGAGAGAAGGGTATAAAATGGAAACAAATCAGCAGAGTGAAACAATAAATATTTTACCAAACAATTAGCATTAACATGGAAGAGAGGCAAGAGATAGAGATAATTAAATTCAATTTTGAAAATAAGTTCAAATTAGTCAAATACAAGAGTCTAACAAGTTGTGTTTAAGGTGTTGCATAATTTTGTCTTTCAGTGTTTCTCTTTTGAAGTGAAAACTTCTGGTGGATAGACATGGTGCTTCTGGATTCATTCTGGATAGCATGAACATTGGTGGCCTTAAAAATGAAAACTGGTACGTATCAATCAATTTCAGTTCATCAAAATAGGTAAAACTGAGAATCTGGTACTCCATGAAGTGCCAAATTGATGAGCATTTGCCTCTAAGGTCATCTAGGTGTCAGTGGCAAATGTCCCCAAGTTGTGCTGACATTCTTCGGGTAGAGCAGTCTGAGCTGACCAACAGGAGAAGCTGTCAATTCTGAGGAACATAAGAAACCAGCTTCCAAATGAGACTTTTTTCTTCATCAATAATGCATCACATATGTTTTACCACTTAAATAATGTCAGGAGGTCTTTATTCATTGCCACAGGCTATTGTATTTTCATTTCTCTATGTAATACTGACATCTAGAGGAACTCTGAACTGAGTTTCCAAGAAACAGAAGCTGTCTTTCTCCTTTCCTGTTTCTGGACAGCAACCTCAGTGTGAAGAGTTTTTACTGTGTGTTTCCAAATTATCTGTAGAAGTTGCTAAAATAGGAAGTGCAAGCCCATAGATATATCTTGTCCAAAAATGAACATGTTTTCAATTGATGAGAGTGGACATGACAGGACTGTTAAAGCAAGATGTTTCCGGAAGGATTACTATCACTCTCTGTTAACAGATAAAAATCATGTCAGATTATGTTCCTTTGCTAAATTCATACTGGTGACCAAGATGAGCCCGAGAGCTTCGTTTCATTCAAACTCACTCATTACTCCTTGACTTAATAAATACTTCTATATTTGCACATGGATTCTTTTTGTAACCATTTACTCATTGCTTTTATAATAATCTATTGATGCATTCGGAATGGCGTACAGAAGAAAGGGGTCCCAAAAGCCCAAGTATTCAAACAGAGTTCTGCTGTCTCCACTCTGTACAGTTTTCTAGAGCAGTGTCTCAAGTGGGGAGTGTGTCCGAGTGTGTCCAAAGTAGTCTTCAGGTTGTATAAAGGAAATGTTAGAACTCATTTTTATTTGTTTTCTATTCCTTTAAAGTTTATATTTTACATATGTTTTAAAACACCTATGAATAAAATTGGACACACATATAATTTATAAGTATCTATAATATACTAAATTTATTTATAAAAAGAAATATACATGTATTGCTTATCAATGTACATAATTTCTTTTTTTTAATTTTTATTTTATTTATGATAGTCACACAGAGAGAGAGAGAGAGGGGCAGAGACATAGGCAGAGGGAGAAGCAGGCTCCATGCACCGGGAGCCCGACGTGGGATTCAATCCCGGGTCTCCAGGATCGCGCCCTGGGCCAAAGGCAGGCGCCAAACCGCTGCGCCACCCAGGGATCCCCAATGTACATAATTTCTGAATAAATATTGGGATTTGCTTAAATACATTTTACTGACAGCAATGCAAAATCAAAATAATTTGGAGACTATTCTTCCAAGTAACACCATTTCTTACATTGTGATTTTTTTGAACTACTTGTTTTAGAGAAGAATCATTCTAATTAGCAGGTTCATTTTGATTCAATAAAAATCAACTTTAAAAACCCATCTTAAGGTAGATTTAAGCTTTAAAAGAACAGAAAGGCAAAACAGCTACTGCCTCCTCTGGATGCCCACAGTGCAGTGTATGGTCCCTTGACATGCCTTTTCCCCCACTGGGATAGGGACCCTCCTCTTCCACTTTGTTTTCCCAGGACCACATGGTGGTGGGTCAGGTTCTGAATATGCTTGGTGAACCCACGTGCAGTAAAGGAAAGAGAAGTGCCTGCAGAACCGGCGCTCTCATGCTGACATTTTTAATAAAAGCCCGACTGCCCCAGCATCGTCTGAAATGCATCCCTGTTCCTGATGCTCACTTAACTGATGGTGAGTGATATCTGCAGCCCTGCATTTGGGGATGATGGTTCCTACAGAAATCTGTTTTCTTAATGTCGCAAAGGAACACGACTGTACTAACCGCATGCCCCAAGCTGAAGGCTTTTCATATCACGGTTTGTGGAGATGCCAAGATGAACACTTTCTGGTCATTTTAACCTAATGCCTAGAAACCCAAAAACATAGCTGCAACAATTTATAATGACTCTGCTAAACTTTGATTAGGCTGTCATGAGGGAGAGGGAAAAAAAATAGAGCCTAAAAGAAATACGAAAAAAGGAATTTTCAGAATATCAAAACTACATCTCCTTGCTTGACTATAGAAGATAATTTTAGAAATCATTTGTAAAATAAATCTATTTCTTTTCATCTTCAGGGCACACGCAAATTCTTGCATTAAGTGAGGAGACTCCTTAAAGTCCCTGGGTGATAAAAAGAATGTTCACAAAGCATAACCTGTTTCATGGTCCGTGGGGACTGGTGTGGAACAAGGCAGGACAGGATCCGACTGAGCAAATCCAGGAAGGGAAAGTGTCAACTTTGGCCTCAGAACTCAGTAAGCAGACCCTCCCCGTGCTGCTGAGAGCATCAAGGATAATCAAACAGTCACCTGAGAAAATAATCCTGCCAGGAAAATTAAGGTCTTTTGATGCGTCTACTATTACAGGGACAGTGCGCTTCATTCAGAAAGCAAGTACAGAGAATTCCTCAAGCATAGATGTCCAGCAGAGGACCTGAAATCAAAGGCTGGTTTAAGAAAGTCTACTGGGACCATCTGTCCTAGGAAGATACATGGGTAATTTGACTTTTATTCGATTTTAAAACATA